TATGCTCTACTATGTTCATAGCAGCATTGGTTGTAACTGCCAGAACCTGGAAACAACCTAGATGCCCTTCAATGGAAGAATGGATGAAGAAAGTATGGAATATATACATATTAGAATACTACTCAGCAGTAAAAAAACAAGGACTTCTTGAATTTTGCATACAATTGGATGGAAATAGAAAACACTATACTGAGTGAGGTAAGCCAGACCCAAAAAGAGGAACATGGGATGTACTCACTCCTTAATGAATCTTAAAAGTGTATTAAAAATGTGGGGGCCACACGTCAAAATAAGCAATAACAAAATTATAGGTATGGCTATTGCAGATAGAAGCGTAGTGAGTCAGGGGTACCAATTAAATAATGATTCAAACCAGTTTTGACTCTGTTATCTGGCCAATTTATGCTCCTGTATCCTTTCCTTAACCAGTGACAGAGGTTCATTAGTAACTCCAGAGTAGTTAGTATAAAAATGGCATTGTTCTCCCAGGGCTGAACAGAGTTCTCCTTGGTGGAGAAACAATACATCTAAACCATGTCAGGTTTGTAGGGCAACCTCAGTTAGAGAAGAAAGGAAAATTTCTAAGTTGGCAATGAATTTTCCCAGTTCTAAGAGGTCATTTGTCAATGCCCTCACCCCCTTTAGAGCATTATAGTTTTTATCTTGTAATATGAGGGCTGGTGTCTCTAGTCTTGCTGATCCAGCTACCCCCAGTTTTAGTAGAGTTGAGACTAGAACAGTGGCTATTCCCCCAGCCCATATATATCTGGACCAAAGGGGAGGAAGACAGCTGCCTCTATATTTCTTCATTGGTATAGTAGAGAACCCGAGGTGTGAGCTGAACAAATAAACAGAATTCCCCCATTTGGTGCAGTATCTAAGAGTGAACAGAGGTGAAACCTGATGAACAGGCCTACCAGGCATCACCAGTGGATACCAGATAACCTGAGTTTTCATCAGGGATGACTAGGGTCTCATTACAAAGGTGTACGTGGGTTCTAGGAATTAGTTTTCTTTGACCAACAATGAATGTGCCCAGGACAAGTGCTACCTCCAAGGTGACACCTAGGGTGTGTCTTTGAGCCCACCTGCAAGAGGACTCCATTGGAGCCTGATATAGTCAGCCAATATAGCTATGCCCTCATAATAAGGGGGTTGTGTGTCCAAATAAGGCCAGCAGCCAGCTGTCCATCCTGGCTGGGAGATGTTTAGTACCATATACGTGGCTTTCAGGAGGTCCCAGGGGCTTGATACAGTCACGGGAGTGAACACAGGAATGTTCGACCACCTAAGAGGTGTCTGAGGGACCATTTTCCCAAGAATTTGTGGCCTCTGACGGGGAACCCTTGCCTGGGATGCCAACGGCAGGATGGGATTGAGCACCATCCAGACTCTGTTTGATTTGGACACTGTGTTGTATGTTAAATGACCATCCTGGATCAGCACCTCTTTTGACTGCAGCTTTAGGCTCCAGGTGTTTCCCCCTTCCCATTCCAGAGTAGCTTTTCCTTTTTGAGTGAACTGTATCAGAATTGGATTACAGGTAATGAAAAGGCAAGGCACTCTCTCCTAAGATTCTGGTGACCATGATAAGGTCATCTTTCATGGGCAAGTTCCATGGAACAGTCCCAGGAGACTCAGTCCTTCCATGCAGAGTAATGATCATATAAACCACCATACTTATCAGCTTGGGTTTGGGACTGCACATTCCCAGGGTAAACATAAAATGGATATCTACTCAGGCACGTATGGTCATCCTCTTGACTATATCCACAGGTCTTTCAAATCTATCTTCAATACTATAATACAGAACGATACCCTTTAATCATAAATCAATCACTACTAGACTTGATGCTTAAAAGTTTTCAGTAACTTTCCATCATTTTCAGGGTAAATTCTGAACTGCAGTGCTGGCTCATTTAAGTCCTCTCCCAGGAGAACTGATCTTCTTTCCATAGCTCCACTGCATCATATATTAGACTGCCTTGCTAATTTTTTTTAAAAAAAAATTCATCCTCTTAACCTATTTCATAGATTTTTGACGAGAGCAATACCCTCACTATATACTAGGCACTCAGTATTTTCTGGATGATGCATTCATTTGTTAAATTTAAGTAATATGATAAAACCTTTCTTTTGAATTAAAAAAAAATTAAGTAATATAATTTATACAAAGACTAATTCTAGCCTTTGAGACGAGATTAGATAGAGATTAGAGAAAGAATAGAATTCTAACTAGTTTACTTCACTTTCAACTCAGAAACATTTCAGGGCCACTAAGATAGCATACCACAATAAAAAAAGAACTAATAGAGTGGGTGTACATGGTTTATTTTCTGATAATTTTTCAACAATTGTTCAAAGCCTCTTTAGCATTCATCTGACACAATTCCTCTCTGTGCTTATAGTTATAAGGGCATATTTCTTGCTTCATATAGTCACTATACTACTTTCATTGTGCATAATGAACTGTCAAAATTTTAGGAACAAAAAATCATGCAAGTATTCTTTAAATGTGGTATCCTATTGAAACACATATTTAGTGTCATAAAGAGAGCCTTATTTCATTACCTATGGCATATTATGTCAAGGTAGAGCTGGGTTTCACAGGACCATACTCATTAAACTTGTTTTACAAGCCTTTTTGTAGCCATATAATTTTATTTCTTTGGGACAAATGCATGAGCTGGAATGGCTTGATAATGCATGTGTAGAAATATGTCTAACTTCTGCTTTCTAAAATAATTTGCAGTGTTTCCATTTCTAGCAGCAATGTGTGGATATTCCAGTCACTCTGTAGTTAATAGCACTCTGTATTATCAGTGTTTTTTTTTATTTTGACAGTTTTTAGTAAGTGATACAATGACTGAAAGATGTTGGAAAATAGTTTTTGTGATCATTTATTCTCTGAATGTCTTTGACAATCAAGTATCAGGTCAAATCTTTTGCTTATCTGTATTTTTCTATTTATTCATTGAAGTTTGAGAATTCTTTGTATATTTTGGATATCAGCATATTCAAACACATCATTTGTAAATACCTTTTCTTCTGTCAACTGTGTTTTAATTTTCTTAATCATTAGCACTCAAAAATGAGATATTTTTATGTCAATGGTCCAATTTGTCAGTATATTTGTGGATGCGATTCTATAATCTTATTTATAAAATATCTGTTCTGCCCACTATCACAAAAATTACCTTCTTTTTCTTCCTCTTCCTCGCCTTTTTTGGTGTGTATGTGTGTATGCATGCATGCGTGTGCATGTGTAGGGTCTCATGTATCTCAAGCTGTCCTCAAACTTGGTCTGTAGAGCATGACCCTGACTTCTGATATTCCTGCCTCTGCATCCAAGTGCTGGTATTACAGGCAAGAGCCACCATACCTGGTTTATATAGTTTTGGGAATCAAACTGGGTGCTTTATGTATAGTAAGCATGCCATCAACCAACTCAGCTATATCCACAGGTTTAATAGCACACTGCCTTTACTTATTAGTTTTATATAAAGTTTTGAAATCAGGTTGTGGTAGATATCAAACTTAATACTGTAAAAATATGTTTGGCTATTACAAATATTTTGCAAGTCCATATGATTTTTAGACTCAGTTTGCCAATTGCTACTTTAAAGGAAATATTTTTTTCTTGAATTTCAATAACAACTATAAATGACTTTAGAAGCAATACTGTCTTAATACTAAGGTAATGGCATGTTTTTCCTCTAAGTGTACATTAAAATTCTTAAGCAATATTTCTCATTTTCTGATATATACTTTTTACACATATGTTCATGGTAATCTTTAAAGAGTTAAAATATTTTACAATTATTACATTTTAATTACTTTGAGTGTGTATATGCATGTGAGCATAAGTGTCAAAGCATATACAACTGTCAGGAGTTGGTTCTGTCTCTCCAACATGTGGGTCTAGATGATCAAACTCAGGTCATCAGGCTTGTCAGTAAGCACCTTTATTTACTAAGTGTTCTTTCTGGGCCATTTAAGCATTTAATACATTTGGATACTATTTTAAATAGCATTTTAGAATTTCAATTTTTGATTGTGAGGTTGAAAAGGAAATAAAAATGATTTCTGTTCATTAATTTTAAAACTTGCAACCTTGTTCAGTTTTCTTTTTTTAGTGTATTTTATTTTTATTTTTAAATTTTAATTTATTTTTTAATAATGATCTTTTCTCATTTTACATATCTATCCCAGTTCCCACTCCCACCCCTCTTGATGCTCTCCCACTTTCTCACCCCATTCCCATCTATTCCTCAGAGAGGGTAAGGCTTCCCATGGGGAGTCAACAAAGTCTGATACATCACTTTGAGGCAGAATCGAGCCCCTCCCCACTAAACCTAGGCTGAGCAACGTATCCCTCCAAAAAGAATGGCCTCCAAAATGCCAGCTCAAGCACTACGGATAAATCCTGGTCCAACTGCCTGTGACCCCACAGACTGCACAAGCAACATAACTGTCCCCCCCATTCAGAGGGCCTAGTTTGGTCCGATGCAGGTTTCCCCACTGTCAGTTCAGAGTCACTGAGCTTCCACTAGTTCAGGTCAGCTATTTCTGTGGGTATCCCCATCATGATCTTGATGCCTTTGCTCATATTATTGCTCAATTCTGTTATTACACACAGCTTTCAAAATCATTTAGATCAATTTCATATAAAGATAACCAGATAATCTGTGAATAAAAATTTTGCCACATATTCACCTTTTTTGTTTGACAGCACAGAAATAAATATCAAGTATAATATTGAATATGTAATAAGAGTAGATATCACAGCTTTCTTCCTGAATTTAGAGTGAAAAAGTTATTCCAAGATTAATTATGGTGTTAAATGTATTTTATTTATGACTTTTTAAAAAATAAAATCAAGAAAATTCCTTTCCATTCCTTGTGTGTTGTGAGTCATTATCAGTAATTGATATTGTCATATGCTATATTGGTGTCTATTGAACTATTAATATTGTTTAAAACTTTTTTTACTTGGCAAATTATATGGGGCATTTTAAAGCTACTGTAGTAAAAAACATCACAACAAAATATACCATTTTAACCATTTTCCTACACAGTTCATTAGTGATAAATACTGTTAAATAGCAATCAGAAGTTTCAAATCATACAGAATTGAAATGCATCTCCACCAAACATCCCATTTACTGTGTTTCCATGGCTCAATTTATATTTGTGAATTTATGAATTTACAGTATTAGGACTTTTATGACTGGGGTTTTGAGCTGCCCTATGTGGATACTGGTCACAGAACTCATTAACATCAGTTCTAATAATGATCCTGTCCTTTCTTCTAGATTTAGGATTAACTTGTTTCAATGTTCTTACAAGAGTAAATTTCGGTTGTTAGTTTGTGATTGTACTTTGTACTTCTTTTTTTGTGTATGTGATTGTGTGGTTTAGTTTTCCTTCTATTTATCAACCTGGCACAAATGAGAGACACTGGGAAAAATGGAATCTTAATTCAGAAAGAACTTCAATAGGATTAATCTGTAGGCATATCTGTAGGACATAACCTTGATAAATGGGCAATATAGGAGGTCTCACCCAGGCAGATGTTTCTGGAGTATAAATAAAAGCAGGCTGAGCTGACTTCTTTGGTTTATCGGTTGTTTAATAGTACTTAATGTTGAATTTGACTATACTTACTGGAGAATAAGAGAAAAAGAGTTCTCAGTATATGAAACCTATAATATGTGATCAAAAATGTTTGCCAGTCTTTTATACATGTGTACTCTGGAGAAATTTTCTATATAAAATTCGAGCCCTGTCTTTTTTTCTTGTCTAATAAGTCTCTTAATTTCCTTAGGTATAATGGTGATACCTACTATAAAAGGATTAAGTGCTTATTAACTCATAACAAAATCACATACTGCAGTCTATTTTTTTGCTGTATTAGGGATTTATATGTTCAATAACATTTAAGAACAATGAGACCCCAGAATTATGTAGTTGTAATACAGGTATGTTTACTAGAATCATCTGTAATATTCTGCTTTATAAAATGATATATTTTTATGTACTTCATTAGATAATAAACACCATTTGAAGTTTTCAGTTTATAATTCCATTTCTGGCTTTTCAAATACTGCTTTTGAATATTAAATGAACTTACTACTGTTCCTTAAACTTTTTAAAATATTTATTTATTTATCGTGTATAAAATGTTCTGCCTGTGTATATGCCTACAGGCCAGAAGAGGGCACCAGACCCCTCTACAGATGGTTGTGAGCCACCATGTGGTTGCTGGGAACTGAACTCAGGACCTTTGGAAGAGCAGGCAATGCTCTTAACCTCTGAGCCATCTCTCCAGCCCCTTTGTCTCAGATTCTATGCTTATTCTCTATTGAGATGAAAATAGTAAGTTAACATTCAATTAGTTTATGGATGGTGAAGTTTAAAACAAAATTGACTTCAAATTTGAACAAATTTAGTAAAATTTTAAATTCTATTTTTCCTTTGATTGAAAAGACGTTCACATATTTTATAATAAAATCAATGTGTTCAGAGTCTTTTTTGATATGAAATGAATTAAGGGTTCTGAATTATTTGCAAAGATTGCTGTTTTTTTTTGTTCCCTTTATAAGGAAAGATACTTCTAAATCTTTTAAAAATACAACTGAGCTGTCAGGACCGTAAGGGGTGCATCACCCATTGAAATGGTGTGACTGATCTAATGGGAGCTCACCAAGGCCAGCTGGATTGGGACTGAAAGAGCATGTGATCAAACCAGATTCTCTGAATGTGGCTGACAATGGGGACTGACTGAGAAGCCAATGATAATGGCACTGGGATTTGATTCTACTGCATGCACTGGCTTTTTGGGAGCCTAGTCTGTTTGGATGCACACCTTCCTAGACCTGGATGGAGGGAGGAGGGCCTTGGACTTTCCACAGGGCAGGGTACCCTCTCTTCTCTTAGGACTGGAGGGAGAGAGGGAAGGGAAAGTGAAGGGAATGGGAGGGAAATGGGAGAAAGGGAGAAGGTGGAAATTTTTGATAAATAAATAAAAAAAATAAAAATACACCTGAGTCTTATTTTGTGGCAAACTGAATGGTCCATTTTTGATGTGGTATTCTTCTCTGTATGCTGTGATTACAATTAATGAATAAAGAAACTGCTTTGAACCTATAGCAGGGCAGAACTTAGCTAGGTAGGGAAAACTAAACTGAATGCTGGGAGGAAGAAGGCTGAGTCAAAGAGAAGCCATGTAGCCCCACTGGAGACAGACACCAGAACTTTACCTGGTAAATCATAACCTCATGGTGATACATAGATTAATAGAAATGAGATAAATTAATATGTAAGAGCTAGACAATAAGAATCTAGTGTTAATGGGTCAAGCAGTGATTTAATTAATAGAGTTTCTGTGTGGTTATTTTGGGAGTCCAGGTATCCAGGAAACAAAGAAGTGGCCTCTCATACAACACATTTTAGATAACTTTCCATGATTATTTAATGTGTGTTTCTGTTTATTTTTTATGTATTTGCATTTGTTTGCATGTGCATGCATTCATGCCTGTGTGGGCATGCACAAACAATGGCACATGTACTATAGCATGCATGTGGTCTTTAGAGGAAAACATGCACATGTGGGAGTCAGCACGCTCTTTTCACCACATAGATCCCCAGGGGTGTAGTTCAGATCATCAACCTTGACAACAAGTGTCTTCACCTTGCCCTTATACCTTTAAAGCAATATTTTTATTTCAATTCTATTTTTTCTGATACAAATTTAGATATCTGTGCTTTCAATTAGTTTCCATTTCCAAGGGAAACTTTTTTTATCTTTCCATTTTCTACCCATGAATATCATTCTAAGTTCACTGACATAATATGGTTCAAATATGTTAACTTTAAAAATAAATTCAGGAAAGCTGTCCTTTGACTATAGAATTTATTCCATTTAAATGTAACTACTGATGTTGAAGTAATTAATACCGACACTTGTTAGTTTTTCACCATGTACTGTGGGATTTATCCCTCTCTTCCTGCTTTCCTTTGAATTCCATTCACTTTGTTATTGTGACATTGAGTGACATTTCTTTCTTCCTTTTGTATATGTTCTATAGATGTTTTTCTTCTGTTTATTATTATAATTGTATAACATATATTAAAGTTAAAACCTTATATTTTTAACTGATAATGATTTCCATTACCAGTAATAGATCTAGTAATGGATCTTCACCTCTGCATTTTCGCTACTACAACAAATATTTATATTCATTTTATATACTATCTATAATGATTATCAATTTTTAAAATAATTATTTTTACACAAGGACATCATTTTGTAGCTGAGGCTGTCCTTGATCTCCTACTGCCTCAGCAGTAGTGTTGGGATTATAGGCTTGTGCTAACACATCCGTCAAAATATTTTTGCAAGTAGTGATAATGAGAGATAACCCCATTACTCATCTGTCATGTGGCATCACGGGTTGGGGAGAGAAGCCTCCCCTCCATCAAGCAGGTGAGAGAGCTGGCCCTGGGGTCATAAGAGCTGGATAGCTGTCACTGCCCCTTATCAGTTGCAGCACTTAGGAGAGTGGCCCCTACATCTCAGCTAGGAAACACAGTAGAGATGACCCCAAAGGTGTGGGTATGAGAGAACCAACCCAAGGACTTGAAAGCAGAACTGGCCCCTTGGTCATCACTGCAAGGGGTGAACTAGCCAGGGCAATGCAGGAGAGCTCACCCTGGTGGTGAGGACAAGAGTTGGGCTGAACAATCCTGCAAATATCCTGCAGCTTGCCAGGCCCAGAACCAGCGCTATAAGCTGGTTCACCACAACATCCACCCCATCTGCAATTTGCTGGAGCATGTGAAGGGACAAGTCATGCAGACCCACGGCTTCAGGATCTTGACGACACAGGACAACAACAGGATAACCAAGAAGAGTTCCAGTAAGGGTCCAGCATCGATAATATAGCAGAAATTAGAAACTTCAAACCAGACCAATTGCTGTTTGCGATTATCTCGCAAAAGTAGTGATATATGTATAAAGGGTTTACTACATGACTCACTGTGTCACACTACAGCTTCCATGATGAGATTGATTTTTTTCTCTTAAGTTTTATTTTATTTTGGGGGAAAGTTGCAAAGGCAGAGGGCAGATACAAAGGGACAGGGAAATGAATGGGATTGAGATGCATGATTTGAAAGTCACAAAGAATGAATAAAAGAAACAAAATATTTGCTTTTTAAATTACATATAAAATTAGAAGTTAGTTGGCAGAGAAAATTACATTAATTAGGTTACTCTTTTTGTCTATATGCCTACTATTATCCAAAATATGATTTAATATTAATGTAAATTCAAATTTACGTGAGACACTTCTATGTTAGATATTGCATCATTACTTAGATCAGAGAAACTATATTAATTTAGATAACATTTTAGTTGTGATCTCTTGAACTCAGTGTATTTTTGATAAGTAGTTATTTCTGTTTTCAAAGTATGTCATATCTTTCACTAAGAAAAAGGAAAAGAGGAGGGTTGAAGGGGGAGGGAAGAGGCAGAGAGGGGAGCAGAGAAAATCTAGAGCTCAATAAATATCAATAAAAAAAGAAAAAGTAAAAGAAAACTTGTGACATAAATCACTGGTTTTCAATATTTCCTATCCAGGTACTATCCAGTCCCCACTCTTCTTCGCTTCAGATATAAGATGAGATAGGATAAGTTAAGGGTAGTACAGTTGTGCATGGCTCCAATGTTTAAATTTTCACTTTCCATGTGTATGCTTGAAATTAACTATGTTTTAATATAGATAAATAATTATCTTAATTGAAACAATTATATGCTTCCCTTCTTTCACTTCTTAAATATAATCACAATCTCTGATTTTTATGGGAAAATAATGATAAATAATGGCAATTATAATAATAATAAACTGACTATAGCTACTTCTTTCTCACTAAATGACACTTACTAAAATTTTACATCATATAAAATTCCTGAAAAAATGTTATGAAGATTTCTGGGTTCTTGTTCCACATTATGACATTGTAATTTAAATACTTTAAATTTAACCATCAAAGATTTATCACAGAATACTTTTTGCATTTCTTTGACCAGAAAAAAGTAATTGTTATGGAGAGAATGCCATGGAATACATTCACTTAGGCTGCTCTTCAACATTAAAAGGTAAGGAAAATGAGTTACATGTTAATTGTCAGGGTTAAAACACTTTTGCTTTGAAACAGTTGAATTGTTTTGATGTTATTTAGTGCAGCCAAATGTCTCAGGCTTGTTTCTGTTAGTCATTTTGTATTTAATGACACATTTTAATTCTTTTGTGTGTCATTTAACAAATATCTAATGGATTTAACTCTTTTGGAGCACCACATCTTCTTCATGAAGACAAGAGGGCAACAGGCATGATTATACTTAACCACCACCTTTATTCCCCATTTTCTCTCAAATGCCAATCTTCTTTTACTTTTTGTCTTGACAGCATAAAATGCATTTTTCATTTCAGTATTTTTTGGTGCCTTACCAGAAGGCTTCTAGCTATACTAATTAGAATGCTTGCTTTTTTTTTCCTAAGAAAAATCACATAGCCTCTCTAATAATTGTCAGAACTTTATTTTCTTCCTATAACAAGTTATTAGTTAAGTGCTGTCAAGAAGGAGGTTATTTTTTCTCCAGACAATAAGAATGTTGGGCTTGGGTCTTTGAGGCATAAATTATATACAGTAGCAATGTACTAGTATAAAATTCAACATAATTAAAATTGAGAGTGGAATATAATAAACTCACTAAGGGAAGAACAACTCTTCCTTCTGGCATATTGAATACAAATGTAAGCAATATTTTCCATGAAATTAAGGGTAATTTGATTTAATTTTAATTAATCATGAATATAAGAGTCTACTATAGAGAAAGGTTCAATGTTAATGTGAGTCAACTTACTTTAAATTTGTAGAATGTAGTTTGAAATATCAAAAAAGCCTTCTTAAGTTTCAATTAATGTATGGCAGAGCATATACTATTCTCATGGAGCATTTTTTGTTACAAAGGAAAACTTCATCCATCTACTTCTATAGATATGGTGTTTTATATATAACGAGATTAAAGATGATATACTTGAAAGAATAATAAACTCAACTAAATTGTGGCACAGAGCTATAGTTAGTTTATGGACAGCAGAATAATGAAGATAAAAAATGATTTATCAGTTGCATTGTGTATTCTTTCAAAATTCTAGCAAATTAATGTAAAACTAATCAAATAACACATATATCTTCATTATATGAAACAATGTCAGCCTGGAAGATACAGCTGAACTTTCACTTCAATAAAGGCAGTTAGTGCCAACCATTTTCCAAAGATTTTCAACAGCACAAAACAATAATACACAGACTATCTTATTTGCTCTGTAACCCAGTAAGAACACTGTGATTATTTGTGAATACTGAATGACTATATTGTATAAGGCATCTAAAACTATTTTGGCTTTTAGTTTTATATTGAGAAAATACAGTAAGATAGAATTAGACAGTTTTGATTAAAATCCTTTAGTCTTTAAATTTAGGCACATTTTAAGATAATTTTAAGATGCAGGAAATGAGTACTTATGCTTATATCTAAAGGTTTTTACATATAACTTCTGGGGCCAACATCATAAATACAGATAAATTGTAGTCATAAAAAGCCCTAAGATAGAAAGAAGCATAACATTTTTTCCTCCTTAGGGCCACACTACTGTTTCTGCTACAGATTCTCAGGAGTACATACAATAATTGTGTTTAGAATTATTGTGATTATGCATGTAGTTCTGAAATTTACATTTTTAGGTTATATTCAGAAATTTAATGTTTAAATGTTTAAGTCTCCCTTCTCACTCTTATCAGTCAGTCTATTGTCCCCTTTTAGGCCAGCGTTTCTCAGAGCCCTGGAATCATGAATCCTTAGGATCACCCAGAGCCTTGTTAAATGAGTGATTGTTTGAATCAGATATGGGCCCCAGAAACCTGTATTTTAGTAAGAGCCACAGTTTATCTTTACCTTGAGAATCACTTTCCATATTGTTCTCACCTATGCCTATGATTTCAAATATCATATCAATATAGATGACTTACAAATTATATCTCCAGTTGAATTTTTTACTCTGAACTCTACTCATAGGAGCTGTCTACTTTAAACACCACAGGATATATGAAGGTACCCTGAACTCTACATGATCCCAGACAAAACTCACACTCTTGTTTCATAAACACAATACTCCTCCATTATCCACCACCATCTTACTGAAAATCATGGTGAGATTCATCTTGGTTTATACACCAGAAAACGACTAGCCATCCTTGACAATTTCTACACCTTCACTTCCCATAGAAAATTGAGTTTCTTTTTACTCTTAAAGGTGTCTTGAATATATCTACTAGTTTTCAATCTCACTATTACCATTATAGTCCAAGTAAGTCTTTTCACTTACCTTTTTCATAAACCCCTTTACTCTTTTTTTTTTTTTCAAATTTCTTCTCTATAGGATCCTACCTATTTCTGAAAAGCTTCTAACTGCTTTCTTCTCTTGAAACAAAGTTATTTACTTGATGGTTCATAAACACTTCAAAGTATAAATGTACCTTCTCTATAAGTCTTATTCTGTCTCATATTTACATTTAATCCCACATGCTGGAACCCTTATTTCTAATACACTAAATCACATTAGGATGAAAGTGAAATTGTTTATTTATTTATTTTATTGGTTTTTGAGACAGCATTCCTCTGTAGCTTTGGAGCCTTGTATACCAGGCTGGCCTTGAACTCATAGAGATCAGCCTGCCTCTGCCTCCCAAGTGCTGGAATGAAAGGTGTGCACCACCACCACCCAGCACATTAGGATGAAAATGAAATAATTCTTATTTTTAAAATGCCATAATTTTCTACAATTGAAGGACATACCTTTAACAAAATTGTTCCTCAGTATACATTAAGTGAATGAATGAATGTAAACTACTTACTAATTCATCTCATCCGAGCATGTGCCAGCAAAGTAGAAATCCTTGATTCTTGCATGGGTGGCTTGGAAAGCACTATGGGAAAAGGACAAAAAGCAGAGAATTCATTTTTCTTTCTAACAGATATTAGGACATTTAATACTGTAACCATCTTAAAGGATTGAAGCAACCATCTTGTAAGATCTCTAACACATATCCAACTGAAATGAAGCCTTAAGGAATTAAATAACTTGCCAAAGGTAATGTGTTAGTAGTAGAAACTTAAGGAAAATGCTGACTTTTTATCAGACATTCAGAGGATATTCTGATTCTTAAAAACTAGGGAGGAGAGACTTGTAGGTGGGGAGGGAGGGGATGTGGTCAGGATGTATTGTATGAGAAAAGAATAAAGGAAAAGAAGGATTTGGAGCACTATTGTTTTTAAACAAACTGGTGAACTGGGGTGGATTTAAATAACTGAGTTATTAAAAAGACTCTACACTTCTTCAGAGTAATGAAGTGTCTCTAAAATAGTTCTTCTAAGTTTCATTAATTTTCTATGGATATTGAAATAGATACACATGGCTTTCTTCTTTCCCCTTATCTATGTCTTTTAAGATATAATTTATATCTATTCACCAACTATTTGTCTATCATATATCTAACTATTTACCTACCTTCCTTTTATCTAGTTGTCTGAAATGAAAGACAGCACTTAAAGACTAGTGTCAATTTGGCATAATATAAACAATGACTTAATAGAAAAAATAGAATTTTGCTGAGGAGCTTACTTTGTTTAACTTACTCATTATAATTATATCATTAGCAATAATACATGAATGTAATTCCAATTCTTCCCTTTTCTTTCATGTTGTTTTCATCAATTTAAATGTTATTAGAATTAGCAGAAATTTTCTATGTACCGCTCATTCATTAATTCATGTATTTTATCATTTAAATTTCCATGCATAAAATATGTACCTCTAATTGGGAAATGATGAAAATAAAGAGAAAAATGAAGATTTTTATTGTTTTGTAAAGACAGAATTACAAGAGCATTACTTTGAATGTAATTAATGTAATATAGGGCACTCTGTAATATTATGAGATATTTATAACACTGAGTTTCTTTTGATGAAAACCAAACTCTTGCATGGTTCCTATCACAGTATATTCTAGTAAATGTAATATAATTTGATCATATACCTAGTAACAGAAACTTTTTATTGCTTTCTTGTAGAGTTTATAGGTTAGTTTGCAAGGTTGAAAGTTTTCTGATATCCACTACCATACAAAAATGCTTTTCTTTCTACAACCACCCTGATTCTGCAATTTCACCCTACTCTAACAATAAAGGATCATTCTAATACTGTTTCATTTATTAAAATATTACTTGAAAATGATATGAATTTATATTTAGTTCAATTATTTGACATTCAAGATATGTGTGAAACAGTATTCTCACGAACTGGTAGAAAGCATCTAATCATACTCATCTGTAAAATTTGGCCTTGATCAAGAAAACCTCTTTCGGAAGTTTTTAAAACAATAAGTATACATGTACACTCAAATTTTTAAATCCAAATTCCTTTAAGTGTTTTTTTTTTTTTTTGATTTTTTTCAAGACAGTGCTTCTCTGTAGTTTTTGGTGCCTGTCCTGGAACTAGCTCTTGTAGACCAGGCTGGCCTCGAACTCACAGAGATCCGCCTGCCTCTGCCTCCCGAGTGCTGGGATTAAAGGCATGCGCCACCACCGCCCAGCTTCCTTTAAGTTTTATTAAACTTTCTAGTAGCATGATAATGAATCAAGAGTTCGAACTTGGACCTGGGGTTGTAGCTCAGCAGTAGAGTAGTTTCATAGTACATCCAAAGCCACTGGTTCTAGGCCCTGCTTCACAAAAAAAAAAATTGTTAAAACTTCGTTAAATCTAGCAGACTGCTAGGCGCTAAATGAAAAACTTGGCCAAATACATTTAAACTCTCAGTCATCTCACCTGTAGAAGGAGGGCAATACTCTCCTGGAGATGTATTATATTATATGACATAGGAAAATTGCTCAGCACACAGCACCTGGTGGAGAGTGTGTACTGAAAAGATAGGAATCAGGGGATTCATAGTATCAGACTTTATCAACAAAATTTTCAGGCTTGCAACAGCAACATTGTCCAGATGTTCCAAACACCTTTTCATAGTAACTGAGAGTTGAGACTGGATTAAAAATTTGGGTTTCTAAGTTTTATTGTAGCAAAAACAATAGATGAAGTATGTTCTCTGATACTGCTTTTAATGCATAAAATGTGCAGTGGACATTTAACTTTCTTTTACTAGTTCAGACTGTAACTTACTAATTCAGTCATGTTGGGTCTATAAATGCATTTCAGTTTATAATTATTTGAGATGCTAATTTCAGTAATTGGCATATATTCAAATTCAGAGATGAAATTCCAATTCAAGATTGGAAATAAACCAAGGAAACATCAAATTTATAACTGTCATTTACCTATGTATATATTTTGTTATCGTTGCCTTCTTAATTTTGGAAGCTCTCTTAGTAACCTAGCAACAAGGGTATTACATAGTTGCCTACTTCCTGCTATTTAATTCCTGGGCTAAGTTATACATCTCTGGTGTAGGAGGTCCTTCTATATTTGTGTTGTTTTCATTGGTTGAATAAAGTAACTGCCTTGGCCTTTTGATAGGGCAGCAGCTTCGATAGGTAGAGTAGACAGAACTGGATGCTGGGAAGAAGGGCAGGCAGAGAGCCGCCATGTAGCCAGTTGCCAGGTCAGACATGCTGAATCTTTCCCGGTAAGCCACAACCTCGTGGTGACATACAGAATATTAGAAATGGGTTGCATCAAGATGTGAGAGTTATACAATAAAAGGCTAGAGATAATTTAACTAATACAGTTTTCTGTGTGGTTATTTCGGCGGTGAAGATAACTGGGCGGCGGGACGTGGCCTGCTCCTCTACAACACATCTTGATGACTGCTACTATTTTTTCAATCAGGTGTTTAGTTATAGCTTATGTTTCTATGATGAATATATTAGAATATCTTAGCTTGTTTCTTCTATGAAAGGAGAAAGAGACTTTGAAATAACCTCTCTTCCAGCCTTTTAAAGAGGTTACTGGAGGGTTTTGTTAATATAATTTTGTTCTTAATGTTCTGGATAAGCAAAAACAGTGTTTTAGGATTCCATAAATCAGTTTATGCAAAATTACTTTAAAATTATTTACTTACAGTTCTTCATGATTAGTGATGGTTTATAGAACATATTTTTATAAGTTCTTAGTTTGTCCAAGTCAAAGCAGATGGAAGGTGGTTAATCATTTCCAGAAAGATCACTTTCAAATATTTGGCAAACAATGTACCTGTCAGACTGCTGGTGGCAATATGCACCAGTCATTGATTTAGCCTCTTTCTTTTCTTTTTCTTTCTTTTTTTTTTTTTTTTTTCAATACAGGGTTTCTCTGTAGCTTTCGAGCCTGTCCTGGAATCTAGCCTCTTTCTGATACCTTTGAAGAATAGCACTTCTGTTGTGGACTAATTCCAGAAAAGATGAAAAATACAAGGTATACACACACACACACACATACACACACACACACACACACACACAGAGAGAGAGAGAGAGAGAGAGAGAGAGAGAGAGAGAGAGAGAGATAAACAATTAAAAATACTCCTATAGTTTGTGTTTGTATACAAACCAATTGTAAGTGTAAATTCACAAACATCATTCTCAAGAACTGGCTCTTCATATTACATATGCTGATGATATCAGGCATGTTCAGAGCATTATGACTGGAGACCATATGATAATAGTCTGCCATAATTTACCTAGTTCTTGAAATCTTAAAGAACAAAACTAAAATGCATTTGCTGCATCAAGAACAGATGACCTTTACAAAACAATTTTCTCCCTGTGTATCCTGTGTGATTAGGTCAAACATTTGATGAACAATTTTCTTGGTACAAAGCGTTCAAATTTGCTACTATTAAGCATAAAACATCCAGTGATTCACATAAGGACATATTATTTTTGTTATTCAAACATTTTTAAAAAATCAAATGTAGTGAATGTTCTTTGCATAGCAATGCTAGTAGATTTATGTTTCAG